CCCATACCCCTGCAACATAAAAATAAAAAAAAATCATATGACATACATACTTAAGCTATGACCAATTAAAGTTTATATTAGTTTCTATTGATTTCTTACCACCATTTTTTATTTTTTTCTTGGAAGTTCTTATATGTGAGTGGCTAAGTGGGTAAAACGCTGGCTCGTTAGCCTGGAGGTCGGGTGTTCGATCCCTGCATTAGCCGAGAAAGTTCATCGAGATTTTCCGGCGTGGTTTCCCCTTGTCAGTGATGCAGGACAGGGGGCCTGACAAAGACAGCCGTCTAGTCCTTCGGATGAGACAAAAACCGAGGTCCCGTGTATACATTGGAATGCATGTAAAAAATCCCTTGGAAGTTGGAATTCGATATAGGAGTAGGCGATAGTGCCGTTGCCCGGGCAATATTTCCCTCATAGAACACTGTATGGCGTATGCCCGTCTTCATTAGCCCAGTATAGGAGCAGAACAGTAGGACGTTAAACCCCATTTCATTTCATTTCATTTTCTTATATGTGACCTGTGAGGCTAAATGAATCGGAATGCGCAAAATCTGATATTGAGCTACAGACAAAACAAGTGAAAATATTGATTTTGGTCGAGATTTTCACAAAAATGGATCTATTAATACATGTATACTGTCTATCAAGCTAAAATATCAAAATAGCAATAAAACATTTTGAAACACCTTTATTTGGACGTTTTATGAGAGTACCGTATTCATAAATCTTTTTATTTCCTCAAAATTTTCAGCTAATTAGTTATTTGTTTTTGATTGCTGTCGGACGATGATATAATCCCCTTGCGTAATACCTGGCACCGTTGTGAAGCGTTACATCTCGAGTTTATAGATATGACCGAAATATTACCGATGGTAAAATTTTCATCGAGCTCAAACGAGTTTAAAAACGTCAAGAATCTTAGCCTGTTTCAAGTCAGCGCAGCGCAGCTTGTTCGCTGATTAGTCCAGACATCCCACCTGGCATATCATACATAAATTAATCAACTAGATTAATCCCGAAACTTGTCATTGAAAAATACTAATCAATTTTTCAGATGTAATCAATTACATAGTAACTACAGAGTTTACATAAAATAGCACACATTTTCTACTTTTGAAATGTTGTATCTTTAATTCATGAATTATTTCAATGGCGCTTTATCTATTTTTTTTCAACAGATCATTTACACTAACTCCTCTGTGATCCAGACATTTAAAAAAGCCCAATCATAATAACAATTCATAACAACAACCACAAAATTATATTAGAATAACATACGGTTATATAACAAGCATTTATGTAGTCTGAATTCGGATCATCGTTTTCAATATCTAGTTTAACCCTTGAATGGTCAACTGCAAATAAAAAGTAAATAAATCAAAGTGCCTTTATTAATTAATTTGTGTAGTCCTACAATATCTAGTTTAACCCTTGAATGGTCAACTGCAAATAAAAAGTAAATAAAAAGTAATAAAAAGATAATCAATGTAACATTCTTAATCTTGCCAACCCCACCAAATACTAAATTGACTAGGTTACGTATATTAAAAGAATAAGAATAAAAATGTCAAGGACGCGATTAATAAATCATTAGTAAATCGTAATACATGTACATAAATCAAAGTGCCTTTATTAATTAATTTGTGTAGTCCTACAATATAAAGTTTCTCAAAACGATATCTAAAGTTCCATACATGCACAAATTTTCTTGTATCTGTTCTTCGTTTTGTTCATAGCATTCAATGCAACTTCACAAGACATAATTAGACCACCTGGTAGATCCTGAAACAAAACCTATGCCATTGTAAAATTCTGTAAAGATATTGCACGTAATAAACCATAAACAATAGTCAAAATCGACAAAAACAGTAATTGGACTTCCGAAACTGGGAATTACAAATTAATAATAGTGAAATACACGTAGTATAAGGCGTGACCTATGTAAAGAGTTAACTCTCCGTGGCTCAAGGGATAACATTCTATATTGTAAAATTCCCCTTGCAAGGTCTCCATCGGATGAACCAACGCATACATTCATCCCCAAGCACTCTCAAATAAAGAATATATCTTACCACCTCAAATTCGGTTTGAAATGTTTCATCTTTCTTTTTTCGCTTTGTGTAAATCAACAAATCCTTCAAATCAATACGTGTAGATATACTTTGATCGTCATCAGTATCTGGTACTGCTATATTGACATAAGCGTTTTCTCCATTCGTATCATTTAAAACTGAAACATAGAATCATATATATTTCTACATGTACTGTATATTGAATATAGTTATATAAAAGTGTGACGTCCATGGCCCCTGTGCAATAAGAACATAATAAGTATTAAGAACGGACTAAGCATTACGCACAGTTGGTTCACAGTTTCAAAGTTCGGTCTGTGTCGCTTATTTTTCAGTTGTTCATGTTTTAGGAGTGCGGGTGTGTGTGTGTGTGTGTGTGGGGGGGGGGGGGTCGCCACACCACAAGTAAGTTAGCAGACTTTTGTACAGAATGTTCCAGGTGGTAGTGTTATTGTAACGGATGCCCAGTCTATTCATATATGGGTGTTGTTACGAGAAGTGACATTTGATGTTTAAGAGAGAAATAGGATACCTGCATGTGCACAATATCCGTCATAACTTATAGTAAAGTAGAGAGGTGGTTTGCATCTGAATTTCTAAAGCCAAAGGCGGAACGGTTTAGAACAACTCAGGGGCCAGAGGCTATCAGCGGTGTTACCAGATGATTTTTTTACAATGGAATAGACCAACAAGAACTTATTAGTAATTTATAAATATAAATTACTTTATTCTGAGCCAAGTTATCACTATTTGAAGTTTTGACAAGACGTGACAAATATATTGTTTATTACCGTAGCACCGTTACTTGTTAATCGAGACCCACACTGTTAAAATTATATGTATATTTACAGTTTTAAGTATAGTAAAAATACAGTGCAGGATTTGTCAAATCACATGGTTTGTTAACTTACATTTAAAAAGATGTCGATGCATATGAATACAAGGCTTATGTAAAATGACATCAAATTTAATGCAGTAATACAACCATATGTTAGTTTACATTATATGAGCTGTATATTAACAGAAATGCCGTTTGAAGTATTATTTTTACAGAAAATTGTAAATTTACTGTCAAATATCGGTTATTCCCCCTTGGACCACATATCGAATTTTTTGAAAAATATTGACTGTTCTGTCAGTCACTTTAGTCCATTTTAGAGAAATATGTTATTCAAAATCTGAATGCACCGAACTGGCTAATAAATACATACATACGCCATACATTGAGTTGTGTGGGACATTTTGTTTGGACGGTGTCATGCCACCTACTCTTCCATTGTAAGGAGCAAAACAGTAGCACATTAAACCCCATTTCATTTAATTTCTTTATTGTCTGCAATATCATCTCACGCAATTTCTTTACATTATCGAACGTTGTGTTACGTGCTCGGCTGAAAGTTCCGCAAAACTTTCTGTGTTCGCCAGGATAGAACCTAGGACTAATTAGCCAAGCGGGGACAAACACATTCCTTTTGGTAATGTTACCTTGGCAAATTACATAATATATAATTCTACAATAGTTATGAGATATTAATACATAAACTCTGTCAAAATACACAATATTCTTTTGTATTAAATGTTATTGTACAAATTTATGTAAATTAACATCATGATAATTTTACATGTACTCCATTTACAGATATGTAATTTTACCTTGGATGTATAATAGCTAGAGGTAAAGATACATTACAGACTGAAATAACATGCAATCTCAAAATACAGTTATAACGATGGCAATATTTCTGCCAGTTAAAAAAGGGTAAAAATACATAATAATGTATAATAATTTTAACAGTGCAGCCTCGCTTCTCCATTTCTAAATTAAATCATTAAATGGCGGTATAAATCTCTGCCATCCGGTGGGCTAGAGAGTTGATTACGGGCTTGTCATGTGAACAAATGTCTAAATAAAAACTATTTGAAGCCAAAATAAAATTAGGAAGATTTAGCACTCTTGATATAATGCATCATTACAGTATTTGTAGTTTTAATATCGCATAAATTGAAATATGTTATTAACATTACGATATTTTAAGTACGATATGTGAAAATAAATGACACATCAATTGAATTCCTCTAAATAAAACAACAATTCGTTACCATGTTCATGTAATCTAATATTGTTATCATCTATACCATCTGGATTCTTCTGTTTCCTTCTGCAATTAGAAATAAACACAAAAAGTGTAAGGCAAACAGCGTATATTTTTTTTCTAAAATTGATTAGTACTGCTTTATTAACACTGTTTCATTGGAGTGCTACCTTTCTTGTGAACCCAACTATCAGCTGCAATATTCCCCCGAGTTGCAGCCAGCAGACGTTAAACCTCAGTAGCACTAGTTATAGTAGTAACTGATATAATGTACCACAATAAACGAGCCTGGTTTAAAGGAGGCAAGTCTTTAACTCAATGTCATCCACAGTCTTCGACATTGCACACACGGTTTGGTATTGTTATCTTACCGTGAAAGGATGGGCTTACGATTTCCAATATTTAAGACAAAATGAAACTTTTAAAATTGGCACATGAATGCTTTCGGGTGCCATTTTTAATGAAGCGACTCGATAAACGAGGCTAAACATATCTCACAGGCGAATACTACCGGTGTAAACTGGCATAACCAGACGCCAAAGACTGCCATTCAATTTGGACTTATCGCGTATTTCGCTGAACATAACTGATTAGAAATTACAGTAAAATCAGAAACGATTTATTGAATGTAGATCAGTTTATATACATTCATATTATATTATTATATGCTTTGCGACCCATTTGTGTACATTTCTAGGTGCCAAAGAATAGAGTTTTAGCTCCTTTGATGAAGCTTTTCGGCTGAACGATTTACCAGGACTTTTACATTCTGCACTCTCTTCTATTATTTTAATTGGAGAAATTTCATAGCCCTAATTTATTAAAATCTAATAACTCACCTTTTGTGTTTAAAAACTAAAAAGACGACCAAACAACAAATTAATATTAGAAGTAACACAGATACAACTGTTGCTATAATAGCTGTATTATCATTAGCTGTAGGTATATTATCTGATACCACTGTAATAGAAAAATAGTAAAATCAAAATAGTAAATCAGTTGTTAAAATAAACCAAATCTATTTGACTTCGATGTTACTCAAAGCAAAAGGAACAGTATGTAGTTGGAAGAAACAGGTCAAAATCAAAGATGACACCCCAGCAAGTGAAACCGCTGAACGCACAAGGAAGCTTCTTTTTAAGTGGCGCAGAAAATATGATCATTATGAAGACTAACCATAATGTATTGACAAATCTGCATTTCACGAAAATGGTTATTTATAAAAAAAAGTTTTCCATCTGCTAACATTGAGATTTCTTGTAGCACATAGAAAAGCCTACAAACTTAATACATGTTTCACATTTTGCATTTCCAAAAAAAAAAAAAAAAAGCATTGGCTATAGCTCTAGAATGAAAGATCTGATGTGTACCAAAGTCGAACTCATCCATGAACTTTTGATCCTTGACACATATTTTAAGTTTCGTCTTATGAATCGGACAAAAATCATCACCACAAACTTTATTCATAGACATTTTGCGTAAAAGTCAGGGGGTGATGCGCATCAAAATTGAACTCATCCAAGAACTAGTGACACTCTTTTTAAGTTTCATCCAAATCGAATGAAAACTGTTGGCTCTAGACGGTCCACAACCTTAGTATTACATGCTATTACACAATTTCCATAAAGGGGATCGGCCATTTGACGTGAAGTTCCGGTCCGAGTTTTAGGAAATTCGCACTCACCCATGTAACGGTGATATATTTGAACAGTTTTAAAAAAAAGTGACATCTACAGAGTACAATCAGGGGGCATAATCCAGAAAGGTATGGTCCAATACGCGCCAATATCGAAAGGAATCCAGATCTTTAGGATTTAAATATATTTTTAAAGTTTCATCAAAATCGGATGATATTTCTGACCTCTAGATGGGGGCCAGTGAGAGCAATTCATAAGGCAACTATTTTAGTGTTATGTTGTGCACAGACGACCTTGACATCAACGGAAAGCAAGAATACGTCTCGCCGAAAGTCCTTGACATTGATAACGTTCGTGATGTCACAGTACACCCCAAAATGAAATTCACAGACTTGGAGAACAATCGGAATAAAGTATTTAGTAACGGTTGTGACCTCCTCTAGCGTCTCGTACTGCCACACAACGTCTTCTCATGGATCTCAGAACATTAGTAAACACTACCCGAGTAAGACGTCGCCACTGCTCAGCAAGAGCATGTTGAAGGTCCTGCAACGTCAGTGGTGAATTCACTTGCTGACGAACAAGTGACTTTACAATTTTATGAAATTAAAGGCTTCTTACTACTTACTATCGTTAGAAACACTTTAAAATTTATTTGACTTACAAGAAAAAAAATTTGTTGAAATTCATCAGTGTCAAGTTTTTAATTGGCTGAGTAATATATAACCGTTGTATTATGGATATTATAAAGATATAAAAACATAGTTAACCAACAAATTGTTCTAGAGTTAACTGATCATATACACAACGTGAAGTCAAAGTGAGTTCCTAATTGACTGTAGTGTCACATCTTGTGTACTTATTTATGTGGGGTGCGTCCCCCGCATTTACTAATGCCATTTAAAAGTTATACTTACGAGGCTTCGAACAGCTATGACCCTTTTTACCACCTATACATCCATAGGAACAATTCAATGACTTATGGTTACAAATTTCATCTACACAGATTTCAGTACAGTTTTTACTACAATCTTGGTCTACATCACATTCGTTTAGCTCCTTTGCTCCGTTCATTATTGGTTGACATATAGCGCCACATTCGATACCACAAAACAAACCAACATATCCCTGCTTACATTCATTACAAATACCATTAGATTTATTGCATCCATCATTACAATTACCAGAACACACAGAGTCACAGTTTGTACCATACCACCCTGGTTTACAGACAGAACAAGATCCATCAGATTTAGAACAGGTGATATTTAGACATCCTTCACTACATCTCTCCTGACAGTTTGTAGCATACCATCCGGATTTACAGATAGAACAAGATCCATTAGACTTAGTACATGTAGTGTTCAGACATCCTTCATTGCATCTCTGTTGACAGTTTGTACCATACCATCCTGGTTTACATACAGAACATGAACTGTCATTACATCTAACACAGTTGGTTGGACATGCTGTGGTGCATCTAGAGTCTTTATAACCATCCTTACATCCATCATTACATATTCCACTCTCTGGATTACATTCATTGCCAACACATGTATTACATGCTTTACATCTGGAGTTAGACACATTGTAATAACCATCACTGCATATACCTTTATAATAAATATATTTGCAATATAATTAATTGAATATTAGTATCTGGTAGGCATTAAATGAGAATTACAGTCTACAGCACAACTCCATTTGGCAGTACACCCATTATAAACAACATTGGTGTTAGAATAGCCACCTGTAGATAAAACTACAAAGGTGTCTTTTATAACACACTTTATTTTAAAGAGGTCCAGATTAAACGTGGTAGGATGGTTGTGGCTGACCGGATTGCAGCCAAGGACCCCAATATTAAAGGAGTCCCAAATTTGTCCCGTAAAAAGATATGTCATTTATTATGTTGTATATATTAGTGCCAAATAAATCTCTCTATCTACCATAGTGATATACAGATTGCAGTTGTGTGAGTGTGACGGGTAATAACGAATACTATGGCGCCTTTTCACTGTTGTAAGGGCCCTATAGTGACATTTTCAGCCACTGGCTCCATTACTCCAGCACTTCAGTCTTCACTCTATCATAAAAATATTCATATACCTGTATATATTTGAACTTCACATAAGGTAAGCACATCAGTAACATTAATAAAAAATGTTTTAGCTGATAATGATGTTGAAGAAGGTTGGTTACATTCTGTTATGTTATACACTGGGAGGATTTCTTGTGAGGTATCTTTATAACATGGTGTAGCTGACATAAACCCTGCTCCATTACACTGATCACTAGAACTTATCTTCAGTTCAAATCCTTTAAGTCTATGCTGCTCTGTAAAATACAATTATCTATAACAGTAAAATAATTTATGGCCACACTGCAGCTATGACTCGATGAAAAGCAACTCATCCGAAAGGAAAACTTGGATGTTGGCCAATTTGGTAAAGATCCCTTATGCCTTCATGAAATCTGATCTCTATCGTTCTCACAATGTTCTCCGGACACGTAATATATCTTTGGACCAGACAGTCCTAGAAAATAAACAGAGTTCATCCTCTCCGGTCAGAATGCTCAACGCCAAATTGGAAAATCATACCACACAAACATGCATCAGATTACATATATGTGTTCTTAGGAAAGAATATTGTATAAAATTCAAATGATAGTGATTTTACTTACCTGTAGCTCTGTTATATATTGTTATGTTGATGATATTGTAGATTTGTTGAAGATTGATACACCACCAACCTGCACTGCTTTCACTTGTATGCGTACAAGAAAGGCCTTGGAAATAATTAGTTTTAGTTTTACCATCTACTGCTTTAGATGACATTCCATTATAAGCTGTAGAACTTTGATTAGTCTGTTTACCAACTGCCACATTTTCACCACCTGTATATGAATGTTAACAAATTAGATCGATATTAACCAAAATTATCCAAAATGTCATGTCGATATATAGGTTTATTATTTCCTTAGAATGTGTTCGATTTAGAAACTTATTTTCTGATTGTAGACAACATGTCCACATTGGAACGATATGGGTTGCTCGGAATAAAAGGGAAAGGTACCCATAGGACAAAACACAATCATCGTTACTCCAAATTTCATCATGGGCCTATAAATCCGTCTTCATTAGCCCAGTATATGAGCAGAACAGTAGGACGTTAAACCCCATTTCATTTCCATCCCGTCATAACATTTAGTCAGTCTCAGAGTGTTTGGTGTATAGCTCGGTTGATGCTCTGACGAGTCATCTAAATATTGTTTATTTCTTCATTTTCTGACACTTGTACCTTACAGCGCCTCGACTTTTCACGAATATATACATTATACCTGGATTTATATTTTTTTTTCTACACAACAAGTTGTAATTTAGGGTTACAAGGATTTGGTTTCATTATTTTCTAAACTTTTAACATCTTTGTGTCTTGGGACATGGTGCAGTGCATCATGTATCATTCAAGGCATTATATTTGATTTTTTGGGGGTTTTTTTGTTGGTGATGTTGGTGATTTTTGTCCTTATCGACATTGGTGTTATTGTCGCTACTTTCAATTTTTATAGACATCAATTAAAGTTAATGACAGATTTGAATGAAACCAGCACTGTTTGAATATTACGTCATAAGTATATGAATTCCGGTTATTATTCATGAAGTTATTACGCTTTTTTTAGAATATAAAATTAATTGCAAGTTATTGGTTGATTTGGATGAAGCATATAAACAGTATATATATAAACAGTATTTTTGAGGAGGATATTAAACACGTTACAGCTTATTGTCGCAATCACGAAACTTTATATTATCGACAAGCAAGTCATAAAACGAGTTAGGTGAAACTTGTAAGATTGTTATTACATATTATGCTCTAAATATTTCTTAATAATTTCAATGAGACTTGTCAGGTGTTATTATTAATGGCCTATTTTGGTATTTATATATGTGCAGTTTGTTAATTGTGTGCAAATACTAGATATCATCATTCCACTATCCTTTTCCACTCGCCAGAGACGATCGGGTAGCTGGCTGTATTGGTGTATATTTCCTTTCTATTCGGGCTAAATGGTCACGGTTACTACACTAGTGTGAACTGCACGGAAATAACAGATCTACTCGCCTTTCAAAAATTACAAGTATAAAGCATGCAGCAGAAATATAGATCGATGTCCGACTAGCTTAACAAAATGGGGGTAGGGTGGTGGAGGAGTCAAGTTACTTCCGTCTAATTTACTCTACACAAATAATTTATTTAGTATCCTGGTGTTTAAAGGAGCTAAATCGCTAACATTTGGGACCTAGAAATTGACAAAAGTGGGTCGCAACGCATATAATACTGTAATATGAATGTATATAAACTGATTCACATTCAATGGTTTCCGTTTTTACTCCAATTTCAAATCAGTTATGTTCGGCGAAATAAGCCAGCAATCTCAAGCGAGTGCAAATTTCTAGCGTCTGGTTATTCCAGTCTACATACGCCGTTTGATTTGGTGCAATGTGTCTAGCCTCGTCCCTCGAGTCTTTTGATACAACGGGGGCTGAAGCGCATTATGGTACACGATTCGTGTACCAATGGTAAAATGTTTATTTTGTCTTAAATATTGGATATCAAAAGCCCATCTTTTTCCGGTAAGATCACAACATGAATGTTGATTTAATTTGACAAATAAATCGTGTTTTCAATGTTGAAGATTTTGGATGATATTGAGTTAGAGACTTAGCTCCTTTAAACAAATTTTGGTGCTTAACAAAATGGGGGTGGGGGGTGGTGGAGGAGTCCAGTTACTTCCGTCTAATTTTCTCTACACAAATAATTTATTAAATAAATAAACTTTGTTAATAGTCTGACCAACTAATATTTTCCAGTCTGCTGACGATATACTTACCTTTACAGACACCACATGTCTTCATACAGTTGTCTATATATGGTGATTGAACAGGGTATGTATTAACACATGATTGACAGTCAGTAGAGTTTCCATCTTTACACACATCTAACGCTGTAAATATAATATAACTACATGTATTATACTTTAATGCATGGTTGACTTTTATTTACATCTTTACATACATCTATTGTTGTAAATATAATATACACAGTATATATTTAATCATGCTGTAAATATAATATCAATGTATGTTTAACATACATCTATACAGTTAGTAGATCATTATGAGTCGTACAAATTATGGTGGTTTTCAAGATGTTTAACAGGTGCCCGTTAAAAATATCTTGCTATGAGGGGGCTACGGTGGCTAAGTGGGTAAGACGCTGGCTCTAAAAATCAGGAATCTTCTTCCTCTCTAGACCGAATGGTTCACAACAAATGCGAAAATAGGGTTCATCCTCCGGCTGGAAACCGAAATGTCTTGTCAATTGCGACCTTTAACATTCGGTTAAAACTTGTAGCCTCTATTGGATTCTCAAGATTTCAGAAGTTTGGGGCGGGGGGGGGGGGCTAACTCCAAGCAGAAGGTCACAGAACGCTGAACAAATGATATAATGAGAGAGAGAGAGAGAGAGAGGGGGAGAGAGGGATGTGGTTTAACGTCCACTCGACACAAACTAGGTCATTTTGGGACTAACGCATGGTTGAATTTTATTTCAATAATTCGCTTGCGCGTAGAGCTCTTTAGTAGTGGGAGGAAACCGGAGGGCCCGGAGAAAACCCACGAGGTTGGACAGGCGACCCTACTCGTTGTCACGCACAACCGGGGAATAGAAACAACGCCAGTTGACTCAATGACAGACCTTATGATACAGGGCGCACGTGCTAACCATTCGACCCCCCCCCCCTCCGACAATGCTTAAACGCAAATTCATTCAAAACCGTGGCTTCTATCGAGTTCATAATATTTTTGGAAAAGGCTTGAGAAATTTGAAATATTAGTCTCACACAACAACTTTTGGTCTTCGGAGGAATTATTAGTGAGCAGAAATTCGCCCGTATATCCGTTATCACTCGTCACATCAGTCAGTTATATAGAGAGATGACTCGTGTTTTCCTTTGGCGTTCGTCATTTCCGATTCAGTTAACCTGTATTACCCAGCTATCGTAGCAATGACTCTGTGTTAAAATTATATTTGGAATGTGTTTAACCAGCTCTATCACATATGTGATAATGACTGGCACCAATATTGTCCTTTAATAGAACTATATATGCGGTCCCCATTGCGGTTGATGCTATATATTACATGTATAACAAACCTGTTTTTAAAAATGACAGTTTAAACACATGATTTCTAACTTTGAACATTAATTTTGTTTCAGAAAAATAGTTTAGAGATGTATTTTGATTAACTCCTGCTATTCTGTTCACAGGTGTGCAAATGCTTAGAAGTCACGAATCCTGTAATTGATATATTCCAATAGATGGGGCGGATAAATGTAGATTTTATTGGTCAATCAATAGTGATTGGAGATTAATTGTAAGTAAGTTTCGTTCAATCTATTATATTAATACATGAGTTCAATATATAATAATAAATACTTACCAGCTACAAGGTGTATCAAATGTGATAAAACAATAATGACGAAAATCTTAGACATTTTTAAGTTCCCACGTCTTTATTATACTTAAATATAATAAGGAAGTAAATTCGTTTTAGACTAGATCAAATCTAATGTGGTGACTCGTCCTTTGTATTATTATAGAATTATAATAGCGATAAAATTATACACCAATTTTTATTCAATTCAGTCCAAGTAAAACCCACCCAGATAACATCATGACGTTGAATTTAAATTTACGTAAAATTGGTCGATCAGTTTACCATCATTTTGCTCGACCTTTCCTGACGTTTATCTTATGTAAAGTTTACGCCAATTTTACGTTATATTTACGTAATTTTCTAACGTAAATCTAACGTAAAGTTTATGTCATTATATATCGCAAACCTAAAGTAAACTTTACGTAAAGTTTACGTATGTCACTTTAGATTAGCGTCAGATAATGATGTAAAATACGTAAAATTCACATTAGATTAAAGATACATTATGGGAGATTAGATAACGAGTTGGCAGTTCTCACTATAATATTTAAAAACTAGCTAATGTAAAGGCAATTTGCTGAGAATTTCATTCAAATTTATCCACTATGACCGAGAATTAAGTGATTGAAATTTCCGCCTAGACTCGATCATCATTACTAAAGTCAGTACGATAAACATCATAGTCTCGATTATCCACTTAATCATTAAATCGTGAAGGAAAGTTATGCAGTAAATGGCTTATAATCCACTTAAGATTGCAGGCTAGAGATGCCATCGAGGATTGATTATTGTCTGATAGGTTAATTAATGTCTAATTAATAATTTAGATAACATTTCAGGCCTAAGGAAAGACCTGCAATAGACAGATTTAGATCTTGTATGCTACAGGATTATATACTTTATTTAAAAGACAAATATAAAGCAGATATTTAAATTTAAACAATTTGTATCCACAGCACTAAGTTTCTTTTAGAAAAAGAGTCAACATTAGCGATATGAAAGTGTGGAAGTACGCCCACACATTCAGCAGCATATCAGAAAGGAAAACTGTGATGTTGACCAAAAACTTTAGCCTCTAAAACGTTTGCGCAAGGCATTGATGGAATTGGGAGATAAATACTTCCCGTTTCGTATTTAGGGGGGGGGGGGTTGCCCATTTAACCATGCTTGAAACATTAGTCTCGAGTTGCTGGTAAATGAATTATGAAATGTTATTTAGATGTTTTTAACGTTTGAAGATTTTTAAAAGAACGGGAAATTAGTCTTGTTGCGGTATTTAGAGACGAGTGTCATCGGTAATTGAAATAATTCCGGCCTGCTATCCGAGACTAAATGATGGGTAACTCTGTAGCCTAAGATT